AATGATTTTTGAAAATGGTAGACATACATCTTATGATTTCTTTTTGTATAACACTAGAATTGAAATTGTAGAATCTTTTAAATATTTAGGTGTGTATCTTTTTAAAAATGGGAACTGGAACAGAACTCAAAAATATATTGCGCAACATGCGTCATATTCACTACACAATCTATTTATTGTATGTAACCAGTTGGAACTTCCAGTTTCCCAAATGATAAGTTTATTTGATAGTATTGTTTTACCAAACATTAAATTTATGCTGCAGAAGTGTGGGGGCATCATGCTGGTCCGAACATAGAAATTATACATACAAAGTTTTGTAGAAGATTGTTATGTGTAAAACAATCAACCAATGTAGATGTGTTATATGGTGAACTTGGTCGTACACCAATGTCCATTCATAGAAAACTAATATTGATCAAATACTGGTTAAAACTTCTTAAACTTAATGAAAGAACTATATTGTATAAAATTTTTATTATGTTAAAAACAGATGCCGACAATGGTGTAACTTATAGTGGTAAAAACTGGGCATATACTGTTAAGACTATTTTAGAGCAGACTGGCTTGTTTTATATGTGGGAAAATCAGTTTACTATACATATAGAATTTAGTATTATTAAACAACGAATTTTAGACATATTCTATCAAAGTTGGTATTCCTCAATTAATAACTCGTCTAGATTAGATACATATTGTTTATTTAAACATTCATTCGAATTTTGAAAATTATTTGGATTTTATCGTTGAACCGAAATTTAGGGTAGCTTTATCCAAATTTCGTTCATCTTCTCATAGTTTGGCTATTGAACGTGGACGGCATAGAAATATACCAAGAAATGAAAGATTGTGTAGTAATTGTAATGCCGGTCTTATAGAAAATGAGTATCATTTTGTATTAATATGTTCTAAATTCCAGGACTTAAGATCAAAATATATAAAGAGATATTATTATACGTGGCCTACTAAACAGAAATTTGTTAATCTCATATGTGCAAAATCAAAAGCAATAATTAATAATTTAGCAAAATATATATATTATGCAAACTTGCGAAATAACTAGTCATCTTTAATGCAGATACATATATATATATTATATTATTGTGCTCTTCTGTAAACCATGTCTTTGTATAAAAAATTGTATTGCTATGGAACATGTTGTTTTAATGCAATAAAATATTTGTAGTTGTAGTTGTAGTTAGATATATAGGGAAACTGCTGACCAGTTAGATATATAGAGAAAAATATATTTTGCCGTGAAATTGTTACTCATTTTATAATGTATGCAAATTTTTATATATTATATAAAATTATGTCGACAATTTATTAAGTAAAAACACTGCTGACCAATTTAATGTTAATTCAAATTGATTTAAGCCGTAAAACTCTTCTTATTCTATATGGTCAGCAAATTTAACGCTCTTTACATTCAGGCGAGAAAATGCTGACCAGTTAAACATACAGTAGAATCTGCTGACCAGTTAGATATATAGGGAAACTGCTGACCAGTTAGATATATAGAGAAAAATATATTTTGTCGTGAAATTTTAATTCATTTTATAATGTACGAAATTCAATATATTGTATAAAATTTTGTCGACATTTAATTAAGTAAAAACACTGCTGACCAATTTAATGTTAATTCAAATTGATTTAAGCCGTAAAACTCTCTTATTCTATATGGTCAGCAAATTTTAACGCTCTTTACATTCAGGCGAGAAAATGCTGACCAGTTTAAACATATATAGTAGAATCTGCTGACCAGTTAGATACGAGGGATGTCCGGAAAGTTCATATACATCTTCATTTTTTTTATTGTAAAACAATACATACGCTGTACAAATTTTGTCAGCATAAAAATACATATCTAGCGAACACATTTATCAAAAATTACTGAACTGTGACTAACGTTTGTATTTTAAAAGTATTTACATACAACATATATACATAATCATGGAGCACTTTGACAACGTCAACGGCGTCAAATTAAATTCATGTTTACCAACTATTTAATTTCTTCCGATTTCAAAAGCCATCATGGTACCTGTCTGACGTATACTTAATACATGTTATTGCTTCATACATTTCATATTTAAAATTATTATTTAAAAATAAAGATTTCACTGGTTCCCATACTGTGTGTAAGATGTCTGCCTTTTTCAAAAAATGTTGTAACGCAATCTACGATATTTCAGCCATGCTACTTTTGGTCACTTCTGGAGCGTTTCTTATACAATATCCTGTCATCACCGCTTCTTTATCTTGTTTGACATTTATTCATTTAAACACAAGTTGCCTTTAACATTTCATGGTTAATTTTGTTTTAAAGGTAAAGATTATAATCTCAGTTGGCGCCAGTTTCGTGATTTCGTGTTTTCACCATCGTACTATCGACTATCGAGTTTCAGATTAACACATTCATAGGCGATGGCCCTAACGGCATTCCGGAATGCCGTTAGGGCCATCGCCTATGAATGGTTTGATCTGAAACGCGATACTCGACAGTACGATGATGAAAACGCGAAATCACGAAACTACGATGGTGAAAACGCGACAGTACGATGGTGAAAACACGATAGTTTGTCGCGTTTTCAATCATCGTAGTATCGTACTGTCGCGTTTTCATCATCGTACTATCGCGTTTTCATCATCGTACTTTCGCGTTTTCACCATCGTAGTTTCGTGATTTCGCGTTTTCACCATCGTACTATCGACTATCGCGTTTCAGATCAACACATTCATAGGCGATGGCCCTAACGGCATTCCGTAATAATCGCCGTAAACAAGCTGTTTATTTACGTATGACATCATAATTTACACTGAATATCATGTTATACTATCCTATATGATGTCACAAAATTAAAACGAGAGATTGCATTAAAATTACATCTTTTAGCAACTTTTTATTCGAGTAGCTATCATCATGAAATCAAAGTGCTCCGTTGTTCGTTGATCATGTTGCCATGGTGATCGGCGCTTTGCGAATATTACTTTTATCATGTTTTTTAATTTAGAAATATGTAGCAGATAAATACTTAAGTAAAGTATTAAATCATCATATTGATTATGTCTGCTTAAAATAATTTTATAGCCTTGTCTACGAACTTTCCGGACAGCCCTCGTATATAGGGAAACTGCTGACCAGTTAGATATATAGAGAAAAATATATTTTGCCGTGAAATTGTAATTCATTTTTATTATGTATGCAAATTCAATTTATTTTATAAAATTATGTCGACATTTAATTAAGTAAAAACACACTGCTGACCAATTTAATGTTATTTCAAATTGATTTAAGCCGTAAAACTCTTCTTATTCTATATGGTTAGCAAATTTAACGCTCTTTACATTCAGGCGAGAAAATGCTGACCAGTTAAACATATACACATGTAGTAGAATCTGCTGACCAGTTAGATATATAGGGAAACTGCTGACCAGTTAGAAATATAGAAAAAATATATTTTGTCGTGAAATTTTAATTCATTTTATAATGTACGAAATTCAATACATTGTATAAAATTTTGTCGACATTTAATTAAGTTAAAACACTGCTGACTTATTTAATATTAATTCAAATTGCAATTATTGCTTTTGAAAATACATTTTTTTTCCGTTACAAGATTTTTCTATTGAAATATCACTAACAAGAGATTTTGATAAAACTCATTACATCATAATTCTTTATAAAACATTAATTCAAATTTTTGCATATCTTTAGAGGTATAAAAAGCTGTTTAATATATCCTTTTAAAATCACGGATTTATATTACATGTAGTAATGTAAATCCGTGTTAAAATGTATGATATTATGGTACTTTAAATGTATATATTAATTTAGTTTATAAACATAGTCATATAAATGCAAAAATTAAAAATATAATTAAAAGAATAAAAGTAATTTCCCATCTTTTTTATTACCCCCTACGGCGTGTTTATATAACTTCACACCTTCAATGTTTCCCTTCTTTGTGTAACTGGTCAGCATTTTCCGATAATCCTTCTTTATTTAACTGGTCAGCAGTTTCCTATATATCTATATCGTCAGCTAATTCGTCAGCAGTTTAGTGCGACCCCTTCCATGATCGCACCGTTTGTCGGTGAGTTAGTAAATTCTGACCAAGCACCGGTAGACGCACGACAATGCGATACGATATTATTCCAAATGTCGCTTCGCATTGTCGAGTGTCGCTTCGCGTTGTCGAGTATCGCTTCGCGTTGTCGAGTGTCGCTTCGCATTGTCGAGTGTCGCTTCGCAATGTTGAGCGTCGCGGTGTAAAAATCATAAAAATAACGCGACATTTACTCGACATTTTAAAAATGTCGCTTCGCGATGTCGAGTGTCACTTCGCATTGTCGAGCGTCGTATCGCATTGTCGCGTTGTCGTTTCGCATTGTCGAGTGTCGTGGTATGCACTTCTACCAACCTCGACACTCGACAATGCGAAGTGACAATGCGACAACGCGAAGTGACATCGCGACAACGCGAAGTGACATCGCGACAACGCGAAGCGACGCTCGACAATGCGAAGCGACACTCGACAACGCGAAGCGACATTTCTTAAATGTCGCCCTTTTTTACCGCGACATTTCTAGGCGACAGTGCGACATATCGTTTGACACTGTCGAGCGTCGCTTCGCATTGTCGCATATCGCTTCGCGTTGTCGAGCGTCGCTTCGCATTGTCGCGATGTCACTTCGCATTGTCGTGTGTCTACCCTTAGACGCGACGGATTTAGATTTTTAAATGACACGAACTTTATCTATGATATGAAGTTTTTTCGCAATTACCCATTATATAACGTCTGAATCATATTGTATAAAACTTGCATTCGTTTTATCATTTTTATCATTTTAGATATTAACTTAGAAATATCTTAATTTACAGAAACGTTAAAGGGTCTCTATTTAGTGCGATTATGCATGGTGTGTAAGTCGACTAATTTTTATTCGATTTGATTTTATGTTTTGCTAAAATGAACATTGTATCTTGATATTTTAAGGTGTATATGGACGCAACCGAGAAACTGATGACTGTTTCGGGGGTTGTCCTAAAATTTGGGATCCTGTATGTGGATCCGACGGAAAGGCTTACGGCAAGTGTTTTGTCATTCACGTTTTAACCTAATGTATATGTAAAATACTACTAATTAATTTCTAAGAACGTGCTTATACTATTGTTTAAACCTTTACAATGAAATGTTCCATAAAACTATTTACAATGTAGTAAAATTATAACTGTTTGAGACTTTGCAAAATTCTTTGTATCAGTTTTGTGAAATTATGAACCTTACGTAAAAATATATTGAAAATACTATATTTATCCACAGTGGATCAAGATTAGTGCAATATTTGTGCAATGATATTGATGACGTCACAAACGCAGTGAAACCCATTAAAAAGCGTCCTCTTGTTTGCGTTTATTTAGTATTATTTTTACATATATGAGGTTCTCAACAAACTTTTATATACTTGTACAATACATTTGTTTCAGTACTTACATCAATATATGCTTATTTCTTTTCATTTATTATCAGTTCACTTATTATATGCCCCTCCCCTCCTTTCGTGTGCCTTTCCCCGTTTTTTGGTTCGGTGCCTTCTGCGTGACCTGTGACTGGGTTGTGTCGGGAGGCGCGTTCTGTAAACGTCGCCTTGCCTTGGTGATCTTTGTTCTCAATCTTTTACATATGTTTAATTTATTCAACTCTAGGCAATATGTTTTCAGATCATTTACATGACGTCCTCTAAAACAACCATTTATCTCTGATTATCCATTTACAATAAAGGTTTCAATCCATGTTTCATATTTGTACTTCATGAAACCTTTGTGCTAACACATTTGGTTTTAGTTGACATTTTATATCAAATTAACAATTGATTTCAGGAATAAGTTAATGCTAAAATGTATGTAAAACAGATTGTTTAATTATCTAAGAGAAAATGAAACAATTCCGATCTACATATCATTATATTACTTGCACATCTGCATGCTTTGTATCCTTCAAAAAGAATTAATTTAATTAATTAATTAAACCATTAAATGTGAAATTACAATAGACATAACTGATACATTTTTTAAAAAAAAAAATCAACCTATTTTATCACAAGGTATATAATTTAAACCAAATGAAAAACAAATATTCATTGCACAAATGATTTTACGAAACTTTGTGATTGAAGGAATAATTGCTTATTCTCAGTATCACCAAACATCTGTTACTGTAATACTTCATTAATAATCCAACTATGTTCAAAAACATCATATATGCATATTTTTCAGGAAATGCTTGTGAATTCAACTTTGGAATGTGCAAAAACGAAGAACTGGAATTAGCTTATACTGGGCGTTGTCGCATCTAGAAACATAATTTTACTACAAATAAAGATGAAGTCTGCAAATCTAGATCTTAAGTTGTTTCTTAGTTTATAAAAGTTATATCCTCAGTAGTTCAAAGAGTTATTTCGCTTTTACTCTGTACATTCATAAAACCTACTTGAATAAATAATATTGTTTCTATGAATAGTAGGGTGCTGATGATAAAGGTTGTGCAAAATTTCAGAATTTACACAGTGACATGTGCTACCATTTGTCACAGCTGTTGTTTTTAACATAAAATAAGCCGTGTCATGACAAAACCAACATAGTGCGTTTGCGCCCAGCATGGATCCAGACCAGACTGCGCATCCGCGCAGTCTGATCAGGATCCATGCTGTTCGCTTACCAACCCTATTACAAGTACAGAAACTGATAGCGAACAGCATGGATCCTGATCAGACTGCGCAGATGCGCAGGCTGGTCTGGATCCATGCTGGTCGCAAACGCACTATGTTGGTTTTGTCGTGACGCGGCTCAAATTTAAAATTGTTAGAGCATTTGTTGTTATTAATTGTGCTAATACCGGGTAATACATTACAAGTGGTAAAAGATGGAAAATAACTAAAAGAACTCCCAAAAAGGAAAATTTGAAAATGTTGCCTGTCTTTGGTTACATTCTGTCCATTTTGTTAAATGTTTGTAGTTTTTTCAAAGCGACTTTTTCAATATGCACTGAAGTCTTTGGTTATTAATGTGAAATATATGAGAAGATTCTTAAAACATCAATTGCTTAAAAAATTGATAATTCATTTATGTCAAATCATATCCGTCATTGCAACAGTTGCTATACAAAAAAGTAAATATTCGTCACTTGGCCCACCACACTCTACCATCATGTTTTCCGAGAAAGTAATCGTTGCAAATAATATAAACAACACACTTCAATAGGTGTAGGATAAACATTTTAAGAGTGATCCTTTACATGCACCACGAAATGAATTAATACATTTTTGTAGTAGTTATTCATATAATTCTTTTTATTGTCTACAGATCTAGACAGACGAAAATTATGTTCAAATAGGCTCTAGAAATGTGTCTTTGTAATACTTAAATTACACATCCTTGGTTTTATAAAAGTGTCTTCCTTTTAGTAAATCAAGAAACTTTTAGTCTAATTGAAATAACTGTTTGGTTTATTTGACATCTTATTGCTTTACAAAATCGAAAGCAGGAAATAGTTCATATCAAAATAGATTGATTGATTAATTACTCAGAAATTATATATAGTTAATGTAAATGTTCTAGGTCTACATATTTAAAAATAATTATTTGCATCTCTTCGTGTTTGTGTATCTTTCAAAAACAATAAGATGGCAATAATATGAATCAAACTAGACGAAATTGCTATAGAATTTTAAGCTTGTAACATATATTATGCATATATTATTGATATGTGAAAATACAGATACTTTCTGTACATTCTCTCTTTAAAGACAGCGTTAACATCTTTTGCGCTCACACAGAGAAGATATGTTACATTTAAATACACACTACACACTATAGATAAAAGTATGATTATAAAAAGCTGGCAGAAGAGACTAAATTTATTTGACCAGTAATTAAGGACATAGTTTGCACAGATGATTTCACGAAACCTTTCTACTGGACGATCATTTTCTTATTATCAGTATTACCAAACATCTTATTTTCTATATTGGTAATTTCAAGATAAAAAACTTTCAACTTTTTTTATTCAGGAAATGCCTGTGAATTCAACATTGGACAGTGTAAAAATGAAGAACTGAAATTGTCTCATACTGGACCTTGTCCTGTTTAGCTGAATGAAAACATAATTGTGATACAAATAAAGATAGAGTCAGTGATTCTTTATTTGTTTATAAAAGTTGCATCAACGAAATGTTTCATTTGTAACATGTTCATATTGGACATAAAAATGAAAGGACTATTGCGTTCAATTAGAGTAAGATGCTGAACAAAACTTTAGAACTGACAACGTGATATGTTCGATCATACAGTTTTTGTTTTACTATCTCTACGATATCATTTAATAAACAACTGCTGGAATTAAAACAGAGAGTGCAATCTTTGATAATTTAAACTGGATGTATATATTTGACATCCAAAGGAAAATAAAGTCTATTACGGTAAAAGTTTGATTGAAAATATGTTTGACAATTATAGTCAATAAAATGCTCATTGGTGTACAATTATAAAAAAAAATCGAATTATTTTTCCAACATAGTCACTTTAAAGGAACAAATGATAATAAATGCAACATATATGTTTAACCTATTTTATTTATGGTTGGCATAAAATTTCCGTCATGACTGGTCATTAAGTAACATAAAGTTAATAGAGTTTGAACCTTTATATAAAATAGAATATTATAAAATAGTTTTGCTTCGTCATCGATTGCAAAAACCTGTAATTTTATGTTAGATTTTCGCCATATCGACGGCTGAATAAGAGCATTAAATATTCCAGACAATCTGTTATAGAATAATATTAACAAATACATGTATATCAATTATAATATTATATGACTAATACTCATATCCTAACAGTCGGAAGTGACATTTTATATATTGCTTATATATGCTTCGGTAGCTTAATATGTTTATTAGATATAATCAATTAAAATTATGTTTCAAAAAAGAGACAATGCGCTGACAAATGCCAGATATGATATACACTTGATATCCGAAGCTTATAAAATATGTTTTATAAATATTATCAATAAAAATTAGTAAAATTTTGAAAAGACTGATACAGCCATTTGTATATATAAATACATTTATCAAGCATATCACGATCAAAACTGCCATAGAATGTCTAGGACATTCCAAACCAGAACAATTACTCAACAGGTTTGATCGTATATTCGTCTTAGGAATACTGGCCGCCTACGTAAAACCCCTTTTTTAAGAGGAACCGTAGCATCCGTTGGCATGCACGGAGGAAACCTCCTCAGACTATTCCTCGGAATATAGAACAACGGACCTGCTCAGATATACCAGTAAACATATAAAATACAAAATACATACAGCTCAATAAAGAGAAACGTTCTTTATCAGAAAAATTATTATTTTAATTAAATAGTAGTGTGATATGTAATGTAAGTAAACTTGCTTGAAACCATGTATAACAATGTAATGATATGATAATAACCATTATATCAATACTTTTTTAAAGACAATATTTGTTTTATTTACACATGGGTTAATTTAATTAACAGTGTTTTGTTTTGTACCGACATCGGTTACAGGTTATCTATTGACTATTCTACAAATATCCGAAAGTCAGTTGCATCCCACAGATGTTCGAAATGTTTATGCTTACGTACAGGCCAGTTAAATGTATGTTTTGAACCGACGTCGGATTCAAATGATAGGGGTCTGGCAGTCGACGTTGGTAAATTTCCGGATGTCGCAAAACAAATAATGACTGTTGAAATGATAATTCCAGCCATGACGAAGAAGGGCTAAGTATCGCGGCTGTCATTATTACCTGAAAACAGAAAAAAGAGACAACAGCAAAGCAAATGGGAAGGGCGGGTGGGTATTTTTCCGTGTTAGTTCACGGCAGCTTCTGGAGCTCGGAGACTGGATCGAAAAGGAATTTGCAGAAGCGTGCTCGGTTTATATACCCAGTCTACTAAGCATGCGCGAACGAGATTGAATGAGTTAGGAGGAGGAGCCAAATATACAGGTCATTGCAAAAATACTGTGACGTATAGTGTAAAAATAAAGAGTTTAAACTCAAGCGCTTAAACTGAATATTAATGTCAACAGAAATAGACATTTTGTAATTTCGGTTTCTACAACCATAAAATATGTAAATAAATAATGTACTGTTTACCAGAGCTGCATTACTTGTACTGGTACTGGTACTGCAGTAGGTACTGCAGCGATTTTGCAAGTACTGGTACTGATACTGAATTACTCTTGCAAAATTTTGCTACTACTGGTACTGGTACTGCATTACTGTCTTAAAAAGTGGTACTGCTATTGCATTACTAGGCAATACTTTTGGTTTTGATAAAAATAGCATCAATTTTTCTCATAAAATAGAGCTGTAAATTACATTTTATTTTATTTTTGTGAAAAAGTAAGTTATCAAATCTGCAATATTCCTTCAAATGTTAACATAGTATTCATCGTAAAAAAGCACCAAGGACTTTATGTAAAAATTAAATTGAGATAAACAGACTCAATAACTCTTTATCCTAAAATATCCTTATCATATATCTGGTATAACGGACAATAGTTCTTTTGATTGTGAAACACATGCCAATATAGACCATACTTCAAAACAGCCACGTTTTAAGCTTAAACAAATACCTAACGATTTCATGGAAAGCGATATGGTTAGGTCTGCCATCTTCAATATGATTGATCGCATCGAGAAATGCAAGGAAACGCAGAGTGAAATTGACGCTATCTATGATAACCTATGCAAACTGATTACTCGAGAAATGCACGACAAAATTCCGCAAATAAACGCATCTAGGAGAACACAAAGGCAACGAAATCACTTAAAACCATATTGGAATGATGAACTCCAGTCCCTGTGGTATAATATGAATACAAAGGAAAGGGGCATTTTTAAAATGTAATCAAAATAACCGTTATAGACAGACATTGCATAACGAATATATCGGTGCACGTAAAGGTTTTGATAAGCTCCTGAGACAATGTGAACGAGCGTATAGGTATGCAAAGGCGATCGAGATTGAAGAAATATCGACTTCTAACCCGAATGACTTCTTGCAAAAGATTAAAAGTTTAGGGCCTCGAAAGGACTCCTCTTTACCGATAGAAATTATTGATGAAAATGGAACTCATATCAGAAATGAGCACGAAGTTTTGAATAGATGGAAATCGGATTTTGAGAAATTATATAACGGTACAGATATTGGTAATTTTGATGATATACATTACAGGCAGTGTTTTTCCTCTTAACTCATGCTATATCCTTACAATAAACAACAAACAATATAATACTATTTGAAAATGTATTATATGTATGGAGCACTTGGACGATCAGTGTGTAGTGTGTAATA